AATAAATAAAAGAAAAGAAGAAAGTAGGAAGGTAGAACTTTTCCTCCACAAACAACACACCAGAAAACTGAAGATAACACTATCTTTCTTCAAATAATGTCAGGAATTACGGAGGCAATGAATGTGTGTGTGCGTGTGTGTATATATATCTGTATTTGTACATACGTGTGTTTTGATTTAGCCACAAATGCACTTAGGTACTCAATAAAATACTAACAGTTTTCATGGAAAGGTTTATGAAAGAGCTGGAATTTTTTAAAAATGTATTCTTAGGAAAACAAAACAAAATAAAGCAAAAGAGACAAAATTTAGTTGAACTTATATAAATTAGACAAGAATAAACTTGTTCAAAATTTGTTCTGGGAAAGAATGAAAGATAAAAATGTTTCTATTGCTATGTTTTCTGAAGTTCCATTTTATAATTTCAAGTCACTACCAGGTTTCAGTTAAGGATTTCATTTGTTTAGATTAAAGCATTGAGGAGAAAACAACCTTAGATAATAGAAATTAAGGGCTGAGAAGAATCGTTTTTCACATACAGTCAATAAAATGCTAAGAAATCTGAAATCCTGTCATGTAATTTCGTATGTCTAATCATACCAGCATTTTCAATTGCCATGTCAATAATTTTCAAGGAACACTCTATCATTATCATTTGTGAACAGACATATTTGCAATTATAGAATAGAGATTTGTAGACATTTTGGATCTTGGAATCTTGTTGCTTTTCATTTCTTGAAAAATCATTCATGAATGTATGTGTGGTTGGTTTTGACCTTAATATATTATGATGCATATACTTTAAAATTGCCCATTGTCAATTGACTGACTTTTAGAAATAAGCTGAAATGCCTTGTGGAAATTTAGGGTTCTGAGGAGCATGATTTCAAAGCATTGATCTAGATCCTTGGTTCTGGAATTCAAATATTTTAAAGCTTCAGCCCTGAGGTTCTGATTTTTACTGTATCATATTTCCTACCAGGAAACCACAATCCATTAGTTTTCAAAAGCATGATGTGCCATTTACGAGGTGAAATTTGTAATTACATGTTGCCATCTTGAATCCTTTTATCTCAAATTATTTTTCATCACTGTAGTTGCTTTCTTTGTTGTGACATCCTTAAACATAATGTTAATATTCCAAACATTCTCCCTGCTTTGACTGAAATCTACCCAGTGACAGAAGCTATTTTTGAATGAAACTCAGATGCCTAGATTTTAGCCTATCCTGAAGACTGCCCAGATTTTTTGCAGAGGTATCTTTTATCATTTGCCTTTGCCTTTAGGTCCGTCACAACCAGCTTGAAACTCTAATCATTGTTTCACTTCTCAAAAAAAAAAAAAAAATCTAGTTTTATTAAAAAATTATTGTTGAATTGACTGCTTTAATGTAAATAAGATATTAATGTGTGTACTTTCTAAAATATTGTTACTATATATGCCTGAATATTCAGTTGTGTTTGTACTTACAGAAACCAAGATGTATTTATAGCATAATGTTTATTATAAATCCATCTGAAATATTTCATAGCCCCAAAGCAGCCATTTCTTGCATTTCTTAAATTCAAACATATGTCAGATTATTTTTTTCATTCATTAGGTTTCATACTTTCCAGTGTTTTCATATCATTTACTGTGTCTTCTGAGGGGTTCAAGTGGCAAGGGAGAAAGTCACTACTTTGAAAATAGAGATTTTAAATTCTTATTTTGTTCATTTATCTAATCTCTGATCTTTATTAGATCATTCTCATGTTTTAAGAAATCCATTTTCTTATTTTTTAAATATGTTTAATCAGAGACAGAAGAGATGAACTCTAGCTCATCTTATAAAGCAGTTATTAAAATATCTCATAATGCAGAGATTAAAAACAAAACAAATTTCTCTGGCCAAAAGGATTGTGAATCTTTTTGAAACATTAACTGTTATCTTGATTTCTCAATAAACCATTTTTTTCTATATTAACTGTAAGTATTTTGAAATTTGAACTATGAAAAATTTTAGTTTCACATACTTTACAGAGATTATTTCAGTCATC